TGCAGTTTAGTGTCCGAAATTGATTGCCTTAAACTAATGATAGTTTAAGTGTCTGATTAATAATTGCCTTTTAAGAATCTGGTTATAGAAATTATGATCTAGCCTTAGACTAAGAATAGCTAAGAGCATTATTATGACCTGGCCTTAGACTAAGAATAGCTAAGAGCATTGTTATAATCTGGCCTTAGATTAAGAATAATTTAAGAGCACTATTGAAATAGTATCTGAATTGAATAAAATGTATTGATATGAACTGAACAATACCAAAACTGTGAATGTCTGAAATGAACATTGTGTGCATGATATCAAATGATTTGATTATGAATTTAGATTCAGTTTATATGGATGTTCGACGCATTAGATATGCTTACTCAGCTTTACCGCTGAGCGTGTAGTGTGTTTTATTTGCTACACGCAGGTAAGCAGAAAGCAGAATGTGATCCTGGCGGCAGATGGGGCGAGATTGTCGGGATGGATGTGACAAGTTTTGAAACAACTTATGATACGTCAATATTAAAATCGCTTCCGCAATATCGTTGAATACTCCGTATTGTATATGTATTGAAAAATATTATTGGGATTAATAAAGTGTGTTTGAAAAGTTTTAAATTTTTACGATTACCAAGTTAAATACTTTAGTCCGAATGGGGCTGCAGACCTGGACGGATTAGGGTGTTACACCTCATCTATTTTGGGCCTTGTGAAATCGGATAAGGTTTAAGCAGAGGTAATTCGAAAAAAACGTGTATAATACGTTAGGCCTTAAAATACGCGTATTTTACCGTATTTTATATATCTGTACGTATACGCAAGTAAAATACGCGTATTATACGTACGTAAGTATAATACGCGTATTATACGCGTATTAACTAACTAGGATCTCCACTAGCCACCTCAATCTTCACAAAGTCACCCCAAATTTCCCATCCTACACTAAAAATCAAAAGAAAAATAAAATAAACAAAGAAAAGCTATACTATATCACCATCATCATCATCTATTATCATCCACACACACAACACCCCTCTCTCCTCCCATTCTCTCTCTGTCGGCCAAGCATCAAGAAAGGGGAAAGAAAGTTTTATCTCCATTGTTGTGCCAAGGAAGGAGAAGCAAGCAAGAAACCACCCAAAGTTTCCAAATGTTTAGCTCAAAAACGCAGCAACCACTTTGAGGTAAAAACTGAAATTTTCCATCCATTATCTCAAAATACTTTCTGAGCAAAGGTTGTAGCCCCGGACGATACGAATCCATCCCAACAAACGGCTCGTGATTTCATTAAGTAACGAAGTAGATATGGCCAAAATACCGGGACTGCGCCAGTGGTGGCGAGCTCCTCGGGTTGGCTATGTTTCCTCACCATATCCATGTTGTTTCATTCCAAACACTTACCATAAACTCTCTAACGATTATTAGGAACATCCGGAAGGTATCGTAGAGAAGGTTCGGTGTTGGAATATTGAAGTTAATGAATTAATCGTCGAAATCATTGTTCATCGACATATCCGAAATCCTGGACAGCAACTATCCTTTGACTTCAGGTCCGATTTACGCTATCTTACATCTGCTAACTCGAAATACTTTCTATACGAAAGTTATAGCCTTACATCTTAGGAATCCACATAATCAAGCGGTTTGCAAATACGTGAAGAAATGATGGAGATATGCCCAAAATACGGCAGGCTGTCCAATTGTGACGAGAATGACAAAGTTGGTGAATTTCGATGTTGTTTCCACTCCCGCTCATCCGTAAGGTTTCGGCCGATGTTTTCCAGGTCTGTAACCTTGCGTTAGACTTGTTGAATCATTTATCACATACATACATGAACATATATATTAATCCATATGTTGAAATCATCCCAAAATATATATGTGATGCATATATAAGTTATCTATATGTTGAGATCAAAATATACCAAATCCATAAAGTTAATATATATACATAAGTATATATAAACATTTGAAATCAACCCAACAACATGTATTTGTTAATCAAAGGTGTTTAAAATACTTAACGAAGTACTTTGAACACTCAAAATATCAAGAGAAAAATTTACAGACCCAAACGGTCGACGCAAACGGTCGACCGTCGTATTAAACATTGAAACGGACCACGACTGCCAGCAGAACGGTCGACCTCCGTCGGCGAACGGTCGACCGCCGCCAGCCAGCCGAAGTCCGCCATCCGCAGCCAGTCAACAACGGTCGACCGCCGGTCAACCACGGTCGACCGTCACGGTGTTCTGCCAATCCGACGAAATGAAGATCGAGGTCGACCTCCGTGCCAAACGGTCGACCGTTTTGAGCCCTGTAGCTTTATTAAATGATATTTTTATCAGATTTCACCCAAATAAAATAAAGTATATTTATCCATTCATATTGTTTACAAATTGTTCATATCATATGACTCATATAATCATAAATATTGTAGCATATCATATCATATGCATGCGTAAGAGATCATGCGTAATTGCGTCTGTTATAGCTGTGATTGTGCGGGACTTAGCAGTCCGACATCACTGACCAGGCTTAGTGTACGTACATGGTATTCTGGCTTTCGAGTACCACCCCTATTTTTCTAGTCTCCCTTGTGAGACTAAGGCCGCTGAGTTCGTCGTATCAAATGGGCGAATTTCACAATGCAAGGGTCGTCCTTGTTGACTTAGAATCATGCATCATGTCATCATCATCAAGTACATTGATTACATAGGTGTCATGTAATCATCATCAAGAACAAATATATTGATTACATAGGTTTCATGTAATCATCATCAAGAACAATTATATCTATTACATAGGTGTCATGTAATCATCCTCACGAACAAGCAAATTGATTAAATGTGCCATCATTTAATTATCAATAAATATTTATCATCATGAATCATCAAATTGATCATATGATATAATGTGCCATATCATGAATATTATTATACACCTTGTGGACGTATATATATGTATATGTATATGTCTGTTAATTATTCTACAATTCTAGCGTGGTACCACTCAGCGGTTTCGCTGAGCGTGTAGTTTGTATTTTTCGTTGACTACACGTAGGTAACAAGAGGACAATGACGGAACCACTCCCGGAGGGCATTGAGTCAGAGGAGATGCAAGGATGGCAGGCAAATGTTTGATCATCAAAGAATTTAAATGTGTCATGATTTAATTATTATTGTACTTCCGCATTACTCTGAAAATATTTTTTAAACGGGTCGCGATCCAGAGTCTGTAAATTTAATATTTATAAGTAATTGTCATTTTCAAATGTCAAGCGAAATTTTTATTTAAATCTCGTTTCACCTTAATTCGTGTAATTCCGGGTTATACGGATTGGGGTGTTACATTTTGGTATCAGAGCAAAACGATTTTCGGATCATTGAGTCAGTATTTTCAAAGTCCTGCATCCGCATCCTCCACGACATCTCTGCCCCGGGAAGGTAATCAACAAGTAAGTTACCATGACATAACACACGTACTTAACTCATTGAAAACTCGCTTCCTTTGAGTTACTAGTATCCTCATAGGCTCGATTACAATAATATTTATATTGCCTCGAAATGTTCTTCGAGGATCACAGTCGACATCAGAAGATCAAGAAGAGGGACTGTAAACCCGATAAGCGCGACATATACGTATGTCATAGTACGCAAATGGCTAAGTGAACGATGTGAATCAACTTCTGTCAAGCTGAAGAATACGTTGAAGAAAGAATTTTCTCCGATAGCAAGTGAACAAATTCCCCAAAAGTGAATATGTCGTTTTTTTAAGAACACGAACAGAGTCTCCAAAACCAGATCGAATACGACATATGTATCGAATCTGAAACACATCAGAGTGAATCTACATAAAAACATTAAGATAATTGACTCGTTCGTATACCCTATTGACGTGAAAGGTCGTAACAAGATGACAATACAAAACAAGATGTGAAACAGTCACACCAACAGTGAAAGACTGGAAGATAAAGAAAAGGATTAATATTTACATGGTACATATTGATGTTGGAAATAAATACTCTTCTGAAATGCACTGGTCATGCAGCTTAGAACGAGATTTGTGACTAGCGCATAATGTACATGGACAAAATTATTTCAACTTGGAAATATTACAGATGCAACTCTAAGTCTAATCTTCCAGGATTTGTGAACTCTTCATAACTGGCACCAGGATCTGGGAAAGCCTTAGCAAACTCCATCTTGTCCAAAAGCTCATCAAGAAAGAAAGAAGAAATGAACAGTTTCCTTTGATTCAAAGCCATGAAGTTCTGCCTCACCCCATCATCTAGAAACTTGATTAGGTTATTGAAATAACCGTTAATGTTCAAAAGACCAATGGGTTTACTGTGTAACCCTTCGGATGCCCATGAGATCAAAGTGAATAAACCTTCCATAGTGTCAATCCCTCTAGGAAGTACAATGAAGGCTTCCACAATATGATTCATCTCGAAATACTTATAGTAATTGCTAGAGACGGTGTACTCCACACCATATGTTGGTCCATAGACCCCTCGTGTTGCTATATACCCTGGTATGAAACCTCTGACTCTACCACCATTTTTATAGACTGTTGAAGCTACAGCTCCTTGAAGGCCAACGTTGCCTCCTCCGTAGGTAAGCCTGATTTTTCGCCTTACCAATTCACGTCCTAGATCAACCGCTGTAGCCATGAATCTTGGATTGCTACCAAGAGCATGACTACCAAGTAGACCAACGAATCTTATGGTATTAGAAAGAGCTCGAGAAGTTCCTTCCATAATGTGAGAATGTGAGAGCTCTTGCCACGAGCTGATATATATAGACTCTGAAACTGGACCATTGATGGAAAAGTAATTATCACCAGCCCAAAAACGTAGTACAGGAAAGTGGATTCGTTCCAGACAAGAATGTACTCGCCAATACTACAGTCTGCTGACGACATGACATATTGAGACTCATGAATAGTTAGGCTCATTATCCTGAAATACATTCAAATCCGAGACCAAGAGTCAAAGTGGTTATTTACCTAAGACAATGACCCCTTGAGTAACTTCCAAAGAGTGAAACACTAGAGGATGAAAACCTGCGATTTGCCATGATAATTCGCAAACGCTATATTTATATCTTGTGAGTTATATCCTTTAAATATTCAAACTTGTTGTGTTAATTACACACTTGAAGCATCTCACTTGATCAAACTTGAAAAGATTTAATTCCATATTTTTTTTTTATCAAATCATTGAAAACTTTTTTTAACTCATGATTCTCCATCAAACCAAAAAATGTTTTATGATACCGATCTTCAAAAAAAAATCACGCATGTATCAGTAGAATCTCAAACGTATTAGAATACGATTACGTGTATAACTTATCATGTTTTTGATAATAAGTGATGCAACTTTTGTGTGAAGTAAAAATATTAGTAATATGACCAATACACTAATATTATAAATTTTGAGCACAAAGCTCTATCATAATTATTGAGAAAGTCTACAATTCCAAGGTAGTTCTGGAATCATCAATAAGAAAATCAGTATTCAAGAATGACTACATATCATCTTGATAATACAAACAGTGACAAAATGACAAATGTTATCAAAAAGTTCATCCAGTCATTTCAACGTGATAAAAATATATATTATTGTGATATATAAGTATGATATATGTGTTAATTATTACAAACAAGCTTTAATTAGTTTATTGACATTACGTTAGTCAGAACAACTCTATTAAGAATCGCTAATGAGAATTCAAGTTTTGAAAGTATAATTACGTATTCATCTAAGAAACTTAGAATGATGAATATGGTAATAGTCATTCCTCAAAATGCCATTATGTAAAAGCGTCAAACCTAGAAACAATTCGTTCCAGCTTGTACACAACGAAGCGTAATTTGTGAAACCAACATTCCAGACAAACTCGTCTGAGGATGATTCTAGAAGAATTTCAAAAATGGAAAATTTTACAAGTTACCCCACATTCACGAAACGCAACCCATATAAGAACTTTTAAAAACTCCTACACCACGACAAGAGCAAGTCTAAGAGTATATATTCGACGCAAGTCTTCATGAAAGAAATCCAAACACATTACATCTATCATCCGCGTATATCCTTTCTCGAGAGAGAACATGTCATACTCATGACACTCAATAAAACAAAGAGAAAAACAACTTTTCAAAATTTTGTTTTACAAAAACAATGGAAATTCAAGATTTTGTACATCATCATTTTAAATGACTTCGCCTAAGGAAATTTCAGGGACGAAATTTCTTTAAGGGGGGAAAGAAATGTAACACCACAAAATATGGCCTAAAATTTATTATAAAATAAAAGTAAATTCTGTCCAATAAGGAATATTTATACGTTTGAAAAAAAAATTCAAAATAATTACTTTTTGTTAAAAAAAATATTTTTATGGATATGTCTCGAAGAGACAAATCCAACGGTACATTTTATGAACCAATCTGATTTATAGATTTCAAGCTATGACGATTTTAAATATTAAAATTTGTAACTTTGACCCATAAAATAAACTCAATTCAAAAGAGATTTCATAAGATTAGAAAACTTAATTTTTGACACTTGACAACATCATATTTATCATTTGGATTAAATTCATATATTTTTATATCATTTATATTATTAAATTAATTTATGACTGAGACAAACCCGAACACAGAAAAAAATAAAAGTTCTTAGAAAAATATTTTGATTACATCAAAATTCTAGTTTTGACAGTCTGACTCCAAAATCATAATCCGTTTTCAATTCGGAACAGTTTGGGCGAAAAAGCGCGTACCGTTTTACTCAGTTTAACAGTTACGGAGTAAGAAAATATTTTAAAATCCCTACTCAATCACGTATTCAGCCCATGATCTCCACTAGCCACCTCAATCTTCACATAGTCATCCCAAATTTCCCATCCTACACTAAAAATCAAAAGAAAAATATAATAAACAAAGAAAAGCTATACTATATCATCATCATCATCATCTCTTATCATCCACACACATAACACTCCTCTCTCCTCCCATTCTCTCTCTGTCGGCCAAGCATCAAGAAAGGGGAAAGAAAGTTTTATCTCCATTGTTGTGCCAAGGAAGGAGAAGCAAGCAAGAAACCATCCAAAGTTTCCAAATGTTTAGCTCAAAAACGCAGCAGCCACTTTGAGGTAAAAACTGAAATTTTCCATCCATTATCTCGAAATACTTTCTGAGTAAAGGTTGTAGCCCCGGACGATACGAATCCAGCCCAACAAACGGCTCGTGATTTCATTAAGTAACGAAGTAGATATGGCCAAAATACCGGGACTGCGCCAGTGGTGGCGAGCTCCTCGGATTGGCTATGTTTCCTCACCATATCCATGTTGTTTCATTCCAAACACTTACCATAAACTCTCTAACGATTATTAGGAACATCCGGAAGGTATCGTAGAGAAGGTTCGGTGTTGGAATATTGAAGTTAATGAGTTAATCGTCGAAATCATTGTTCATCGACATATCCGAAATCCTGGACAGCAACTATCCTTTGACTTCAGGTCCGATTTACGCTATCTTACATCTGCTAACTCAAAATACTTTCTATACGAAAGTTATAGCCTTACATCTTAGGAATCCATAGAATCAAGCGGTTTGCAATTCCGTGAAGAAATGATGGAGATATGCCCAAAATACGGCAGGCTGTCCAATTGTGACGAGAATGACAAAGTTGGTGAATTTCGATGTTGTTTCCACTCCCGCTCATCTGTAAGGTTTCGGCCGATGATTTCCAGGTCTGTACCCTTGCGTTAGACTTGTCGAATCATTCATCACATACATACATGAACATATATATTAATCCATATGTTGAAATCATCCCAAAATATATATGTGATGCATATATAAGTTATCTATATGTTGAGATCAAAATACACCAAATCCATAAAGTTAATATATATACATAAGTATATATAAACATTTGAAATCAACCCAACAACATGTATTTGTTAATCAAAGGTTTTTAAAATACTTAAAGAAGTACTTTGAACACTCAAAATATCAAGAGAAAGATTCACAGACCCAAACGGTCGACCGTCGTATTAAACTTCGAAACGGACCACAACTGCCAGCAGAACGGTCGACCTCCGTCGGCGAACGGTCGACCGCCGCCAGCCAGCCGAAGTCCGCCATCCGCAGCCAGTCAACAACGGTCGACCGCCGGTCAACCACGGTCGACCGTCACGGTGTTCTGCGAATCCGACGAAATGAAGATCGAGGTCGACCGCCGTGCCAAACGGTCGACCGTTCCGAACCCTGTAGCTTAATTAAATGATATTTTTATCAGATTTCACCCAAATAAAATAAAGTATATTTATCCATTCATATTGTTTACAAATTGTTCATATCATATGACTCATATCATCACACATATTGTAGCATATCATATCATATGCATGCGTAAGAGATCATGCGTAAGTGCGTCTCTTATAGCTGTGATTGTGCGGGACTTAGCAGTCCGACATCACTGACCGGGCTTAGTGTACGTACATGGTATTCAGGCTTTCGAGTACCACCCCTATTTTTCTAGTCTCCCTTGTGAGACTAAGGCCGCTGAGTTCGTCGTATCAAATGGGCGAATTTCACAATGCAAGGGTCGTCCTTGTTGACTTAGAATCATGCATCATGTCATCATCATCAAGTACATTGATTACATAGGTTTCATGTAATCATCCTCACGAACAAGCAAATTGATTAAATGTGCCATCATTTAATTATCAATAAATATTTATCATCATGAATCAACAAATTGATCATATGATATAATGTGCCATATCATGAATATTATTATACACCTTGTGGACGTATATATATGTATATGTATATGTCTGTTAATTATTCTACAATTCTAGCGTAGTACCACTCAGCGGTTTCGCTGAGCGTGTAGTTTGTATTTTTCGTTGACTACACGTAGGTAACAAGAGGACAATGACGGAACCACTCCCGGAGGGCATTGAGTCAGAGGAGATGCAAGGATGGCAGGCAAATGTTTGATCATCAAAGAATTTAAATTTGTCATGATTTAATTATTATTGTACTTCCGCATTACTCTGAAAATATTTTTTAAACGGGTCGCGATCCAGAGTCTGTAAATTTAATATTTATAAGTAATTGTCATTTTCAAATGTCAAGCGAAATTTTTATTTAACTCTCGTTTCACCTTAATTCGTGTAATTCCGGGTTATACGGATTGGGGTGTTACAATCAGCCCAAGTAACTTTGACCGGTCAAACTTTAATTTTCGCTTTCTTGGCTTGTTTTTGAATGCGCTAAGTCCAACCCGGTTGAACTAGAGTGAACCGGCTGAACTTCATTTTGGCTTTTTGGATGGCTTCACGAATTCTTCGACAAAGTTCAGTTTGACCGGTGAATTCCCACTCCATGGTTTGACCGATCAACTGCTTTGTGGTAGAACTTTTGAATTTCTGCTGTATCGATACCCAACCGGGGTATTCCTTTTTTTTTGACCGGTAGGTTGTAGATGGAAGCACATGTAACCTAGTAATTCTTGAAGTATCCTTAACCGGTAAGAATACTGGAGATTTAACCATGTCGAATGGTTTCGAACCCTCTCCAAGGTTCAAATGCACCCTTCTTCCAGGGCCCCCTCTTCCGGGTGATTAAGTCTTTTAATGGCCCTTTAATTTCTACTATCCCGGGAAGGCC